GAAAACGAATCAATAAATCAATCTGCGTTAAATTGATAGATTTACTCTTCCTCTTCCTCTTCCTCCTCTTCCTCTTCTTCCTCACCTGAAAAATAACGCAAATTATCTTTCAAATAGACTAGAAAATTCAAAAAAATTGACAGATGGACTGGGCATGAAATTTGGCGGGGAAAACCTAAACAAGGTAAGTGTCACCTCCTTCACCTTCTCCTTCCTCTTCGGCTTCAGGCTCCTCTGCTGGTGCAGGGGCGGCCTCTTCCTTCTTTTCCTTCTCTTCCTTCTCTTCCTTAACCTCCTCCTTCTTCTCACCAGACTTCTTCGACCAATCTGGCTTGTCAGTATTCTTCTTTGTCTAAAAACATCTCGATTTATGGATTCATTGCATTCAAAATTTTTCGTACCTTTGCCATAATATCTTCGATGGCGTTCTCCTTTTTGACAACCTTAAGGTTCGCCCTAAAGTCGGCCTTGTCACCCTGGAATAAGTAAGCGGTTAAGAGATGTGAATTCAAATGTTGAACAGAGGTGACAAGGGGACATACAATAGGGATACGGTAACGGTTTGTAAAGAGAATTTAAGAAGTGTTAATACCGTTCAATCGTTACCTTTACCTTCGCCTTCTCATCGGCCATCTTCTTGAATTTGTTGTCATATTTGGAGACTTTCTTCAGGGTTGGTTTTACGCTGAAAAATTCGCAAATTGTTGCTCGTTTGACGCACGAAATCGTTAGCAATGAACAGTCGAGACATCCTTTTAATTCCTAACTCTCTCTTTTCTTCTAAAATGGCGGAGAAAATAATAGGCTTGACAGTAAACTATCTGTTTCGAGGAGTTAGTGGCAGCTAAAGGCGATGCATGATTCTTCGCCAGACCCGCAGGCTGTACATTTAGAACTGGGACTATGAGCAAAGACGACAGAAGAACTTTTAAGCTTTTTGAAGTGAGGACTCTCCAGGATTCAAATTAAACTGAAATTCCTCATAAAAGCGCTATTGCTGTAGTCAT